AAATTTATTAATTTTTTTAAATGTATTAGAGAAATGTACAGAATGTGTTTTTAAGATTTTCAAATAATAAAAAAATGTTAACGCCCCAATTGTTTTGAACTTGAATTTCACTCGTGGTAAATTATAAATAATTAAGTCCGTTTTTTTCTTAATAGAATAAGTGTCTAATTTTTCTTGTATTTTAAAATGAGCTAATTATATACGTATTTTAATATTTTAAGTGAATTTTCAACGATATATATTTTTTAACAAAACTATAAAAATATCACGAGATTTACTCATGATAAATTTTATTATAAAAATACAACTCAGATGAATAGAAATATGCAAGTTACCAACCTATCACCACCCTCTCTCCCACCTTGGCAGCTGGAATCCGGCCAAGAGCAAAGATCAAAAATTCATTTTTTTCTTCTTTTTTCTTCTCCTTCTCCACTCCCTTCATCCATTATTCTTCTATTTCCCTTCTTCTAAAAAATTCGTCCAAAATCACCTCAAAACGACCAATCCTATCATTTTATGGCTATCCTCAAACCTCCATTTTTTTTTTTTTTGACTAAAACCTTCACATGTCACCTAAAATCAATCCCTAATCGGTCGATTTACATCTATAGGCTTTAAAATTGATTTTTTTTTTTCATTCTCCTCTTCCTTTTTAGGCTAATATCAAAAAATCTTAATCCACCAATGGCCATCAATTATGTTATTTTTTTTAATTTTGTGGCCGCTCATATTAAAGGATCATCTCACCTAGAAGCTTAAGCTAATTGATGGCATGAAACTTGCATAGGTTTATATTACCTTATGCTTAATACTTGAAAAATTGAGAATGGTGAGACTTGAACTCGGGACCTCAAAGTCAACCAAGTTTTGATACCATATTAAATGACCATCTCATCTAAAATCTTAAGCTAATTGGTGAGGCCCTATAATATAATTTATACTAATCTCTAACAGCCCACAACTTCAAAAACTTTTTAATTATCCAACACCGTAAATTTGTAACTTTTCACAAAAAAAAAAAAAATAGATTTTGGTGTTTGTCTTTGGCCGGAATCCAGCCAAGATGGGGAGAGGAAGGTAATAGAACTTTGGTATATAGTTGATAAGTATTTTTGATATAAAATTAATCATATATAAATCATATAATATTTTCCGATGGTTTCGTTAAAAAAATATTATGAGATGATAGATTAAAAATTTACTTAAAATACAAGAATATATATATATATATATATATATATATATATATATATATATATTTTAGAATATAAAAATATATTAGACACCCATCCAATTATATAATTTTACATTGATTTTTTTTTTTTAATATATAATCTATCAACATGCGGGCTACTGAACCGGAGACTTCTGTAGAGATGAGAGCTACCATCCCCCGAGCCAGACAATTAGTTAGACGGCTTGATTGGTAAAAAAAATTGGATTTATCAATTGGGCTAGGAACACTAGATCAAGTGCAGTAAGCCCGGTTAAACTTAGGGGCAAAGCGCGGAGCTTGTTCTCATGTGAATCCATATGGTAAAAGGAGTGGCTATTGGCGCAATTTTATTAACTTTTTTCCGTAAATGATTCAAATGTCCTTCTTCTTTTTTCTTTCTAAATTATTAGGATCTTAATTAATCAAAATAAACCCATCAACATTCATGTTTATCAAAACTCACAACAAATCAAACACGCCATATAGGGATGAGCGAAAACAATAATTTAAATTTCTAAATTAGAAAAGATGAAAAACAACTTTTTACAAACTTCTATTTTTTAATAACTAAAAGCTAAAAAACACCACCACAAACCACCTATCAACCACTAAAATAAATTTATTCTCAAATTCAAAAAAAGAAAAAGATTTATCAAGATCATAAAACAACTCATCTCAATTTTCTTTACCAAAAACACATGAAAAGAGCAATCAACAGAAAAGACAATTTTAGTGGGTTTAATTTCAATGGAAATAAAAATAATTTATACAAGAAAAGGTTTGGGAAGCAATTGTTCAGAGGTTTTTATTTTCCTTAGTGCTATGTTTACATAATCTTCTTTTCTAATATGTAAAACGAGGCTTTTTCAATATTTGAATCCTATATTTTTTTAATTTTTTTTAATTGAGATCCTTTATTTTCTTTTTTTTATTCAAATTTTTTACTTTTCAAAATTTATTATTTCAGATCCTCTATTATAACGTCAATAATCAATAATCGACACGTGGACAAGATTTCTTATTTTATAATGCCACGTGTCGATTACCGATTCGTGGCATTATAACTTAAAGTCTAAAGCAATAAATCTCGAAAGATAGAGAGTCTCAATCAAAAAAATTTGAAAAATATAAAGTTCAAATGTGGAATAAATCCTATGTGAAACTAGTTTAGGTTTTAGATTGTAAATTAGTTAAAAAGAAAAAAAAGGGCAGTTTAGTCATTTAAATAGGAAAAAAATGGTTAATGAGGTTGTGGCTATAGAAGGAGAGGATCTGCCAATAGGCATTCCCAATAATTGGCACCAACAAATTTACAAATACCCAATTGTACATTAATCGCAGATAATTTTTCTGTTTTTAAGAAAGCTAACAACAATTAATTATCAACAACCATGAAGTTGTCCTTTATCCATTATAATTGATTGGAAGCCACATTAGCCTAATTAGCATCCAAAACTAATGTTGATAGTTCAACCATTACATCAGCTGCTATAATAAATATCATAAACATGCCCTGGAGGCTGGAGGCTGGAGGCTGGACTCATTTCCACTTAAAGTCGGATATATGAGTAATGCAGATTGAGAGAAAGGGGACTATATATATTTGACTTGGATACTTTAAATATGTGGATAAATAAGATGAAAAATGCCAGTTTGTTACATTGTTGCTTTCTTCAGAATATGTAAAGTGTCATTATATGTAGCTAGCTGAATGGCTACACATTGCAAAGCTCGTTAAAATCCAGATTACGAAAGCAAAAGACGATTGTTTTTCAAGTTCGGTTACTTAGTAAACTGTCTTTAAAATATATATGCATATTGAGTGAAAGTTGAATGACAGCATAAATATCAAAAAACCAGAAAAAAGACCGAGCGGTTGCAATTTGCAAGGCAACAGGTCTTGAAACTCAATCGATAACGAAGCTAGCAAGAAATAAGTCAGTTATTGTAATTCAATTACAATCAGCCGTCTAGACGATCCAATCCGTTTGACTTTAAGCATACAGCTTAACATGCAATTGATGACAGGCTTAATAAATCAGGGAAACACACAGATGAGCAGTTTGTCCTGGGGATGAAGTTTGCCTGGTAGAAAAGCTATAAAGCACACGTATCTTGCTCCTTCCAAAGAAACATTGTGAAATTTTACGAATGGTTGGTGAAAAAGGTATCAAGTACAGAAACAAACACAGGGCACTGGCAGCAGACATGAGCATGATTAATCTGAAAACTAGTTTGTTCTTGTTTTTTCAGCATTAAACCAAAACAGATGCATCTGCTTTCCATGATCATATCACAATTTTCTGTACTCTACTCTACCTCAACACATAAGTTGAGCTATTGTCACTACTGACTGTCCCAACATCAAAACTTCTGCCATTTTCTTCCTTCTGTTCCAGTAATTTTATTTTTCTGGTAATCAATGTCTTTCTACAAGCTTTGCTCCGTTGCCTCGGATATTAGCAATTCTGTTGACGAATCTGATTGAGGTTCTTTGGAAATAGATTGAGGAAATGATAAAGCACTGGGAGGCAATCGCAAATCCTCGACGTTTGCTTCAAGCATTTCCAAAACTTTGGTCATGAATGGACGATCTGATGCTGCCTTTTGGATGCACCATAACCCAACCACACACAACTTTCTTGCTATTCCAGCCTCAGCTTCAGTAACATTCTCAAGCTGTAAATCTCCTCCCTCACTCAGATGGTCATAAACCCACAATGGGAAATATAACTCGCTGGAGCAATTTCCCTTTGAATTTGAGTTCCTTCTTCTTCCAGCCATTTCCAACAATAACATCCCAAAACTAAAAACATCTGATTTGCAAGAAACAGCTCCGAGGTTCCTTGAAATCATTTCAGGAGCAATGTACCCTATGGTTCCTCTGGTAGTACTAGTGGACACAAAATCCATTTCCTTGGGATAAAATTTTGCAAGGCCAAAATCTGAAACTTTTGGGATGAAATTAGCGTCTAGCAGGACATTGTGAGGCTTAATATCCAAATGAAGAACGCATACGCTGCATCCCACATGAAGATGCTCAATCCCTTTAGCTATCCCTAAAGCGATTTGAAGGAGTTTCTCCCATCTAACTAGACGAAGTTCTGCTTTTCTTGAAAATAAAAGCATATCAAGAGATCCATTAGCCATATACTCGAAGACAAGAGCTCGGTAAGACTCCTCAGAACAAAATCCAATCAACCGTACTACATTGACATGATGAATTCTACCAATTATGGAGACTTCATTAATGAAGTCGTCGTCATTGCATTCGGGGTTGCCAAGCATTTTAACAGCAACTAAAAACCCATCACGAAGTTGTCCTTTGTATACAGTCCCAAATCCACCTTGACCTAATTTATCTTTGAAGTTGTTTGTAATTGCAATAATGTCAGAGTAAGAGTACCTCCTGGGCATCAACAGTTGCCGACTGGGCTGAAAATTCTTCTCGTTGTCAATCACCTTCTCTGTTGTCATATACTTGTGGATAAGGAATCCAAATATACCTATCGGAGCAAGGATGAATCTTCCAACTAGATATATTGCTGGAATCAAGTTGAAATTTGTTAATTTTGAGAGAACGAAAACAATAAGCTCAGCAAGCATTAGGGGTTCCAAAGTGAAAGATATACCTGACAAAAAGTTCCAAATCGTAGAGAAGGCTTGCAGCCAAGCGGGAAAATAATTATCTGCACGGGCACAAGAGCAATGAAAATTTAAGTCCTTCTCAACATCATTGAATAAACGAACTGCAAGAATCTTCGAAACAAAATAATGATAATTAAAGCATATAAAGAAATAAAGGAATATTGTTAGCATTTGACTGACCTGATCTGTAGCAATCATAGCTAAATGATGAATCCCAGCACCCAATAGACCATTCAAGATCAAACCCCGATTGCATCAACTGCAAGATACTATCATAGGAAGGGAAGAGCACAGCCTGATATACTGTAGGAACTCTTGAAATGAACGAGCAAGATCCTTGAAGATCAGAAATTATGTAGTTGTCATAAATAACATAAACACTAGTTTTATTTCCGCTTAAACAAGGAACTAGTCTATAAGCTGCCTGATCACTCAAATTACTTGAACACTTGATGAAACTTGTATAGGTAGCAGAGACTAATCTATAGTGATTGTCACCTATAATTTCAGCAACCGAGACTGATTTGTACGGAAGGCTGCAGCTACCATTAGCTAAGTTAAAATCAACAACACGGAGTCTATTATCGTCATACGAAATTTGCTTAACATAATACTTCCCTGAGTGGAATTCTAATATGGTCTTGTTGTTCTCGCAAGAAAGTTCAAAGACTGGTTCACCACAGCCAGCTGGATCGGTCTTTAGGCGAAAAGGGTAGTCGATGATTTCGATGTCTCCACACGAGGAAGGGGAGCAAACATGTGGGATGAATCTGGCTCCAGCTACAGTTGAGAGTAGAAAGATTAGCAGAGAAAACAGAGTAGTTGAAGATGTCGGTGATTCTTGCCTTTTGGTCATGGTTTCTTTTCTACAAGAAAGACGCAGGTGTGGACAATAAGTTGAGAGAGGAAGGGAAATGTTTTGATAGCATTTTAGCAGCGAGAAACTTGACTGGTTATGGCTACTCGGTAAAGGGGTCTTCGATCCTAGTCAACAGCCAATGACTTGAGCCTTGAAGTTTGATAAATGATCCACAATTGTCAGTTTATGTGGAAATCTACTGACAATAGAGTTAATTACTATATCTTAGTTTTTACTTTAACAAAACTAATGAATTAATCCTCATTGTTTTGAAAACTATATATTAATCCTTCTGTTTTTCAATATGTTTCAATTTAGTGCTTCTATTAATTTCGTAGTGTTTTTTTTCAATTTTTTTTAACTTTTTCTCCTTTTTTTTTTTTTCTTTTTGAAAACAGATAAAAACGAAGTAGGAAAGATGATAATTTTGGTTAGAAAATAATCATCAAAATAATCATTTTTGAAATTAGAAACCAATAGATTGAAGATGATAAATGTGGATAATAAACATATTGCTTCTATTAATTTCATATATATTTTTTCAATTTTTTTTTGTTTTTTTCTTTCTCTTTTTTTTTAATTATTTTTTTGAAAACAGATAAAAAAGAAGTAGGAGAGATAATGATTTTGGTTAGAAAATAATCATTTTTGAAATAAGAAACCAATAGATTGAATATGATAAATGTGGATTATAAACATATTGCTTCTATTAATTTCATTTTTTTCTTTTTTCCCTTATTCTTTTTTTTTTAGCGTCTTTTCTTTTTTTATTTTTTGAAAACAGATAAAAAAAGGTAGGGTAGATGATAATTTGTTTAGAAAAAGAAAAAATCATTTTTGAAATAAGAAACGAATAGATTGAAGATGATAAATATGGATCAATTGACTGTTATAATTATTTCTTATACTATATAAATTAATTGATTGGTTTTAATAAATTCTAGGAACTAAGTTACTATACCCATAGTAATATTAGATATCCTCCGTAAGAAATATTTGTAATTTTTTTAATGAGAATTTTATTGCCAGATCATTTGTAATTGCGACGAAAGGGCAACAGTTCAGAAATAAGAAGACTGTAATATATAAAAGAAAAGCGAGACATGGCTTTTTTATTATTATTATTATTTTTTTTTTTTACCGAAACTATCTAGTGCCGTTACCGAAGAACCCAGACCGTTAGATTAGATTCATTGATCAATAAACCAAAAGAAAAAAGGAAAAGGTTGGTAGACCATTGTTGCTGGTTTGGAGAAATTTTATAATATTTAAAAAATAATTGATAATATATATAGTAATTATTTTTTAGACTCATTTAAAAAAATACATTAAATAAATAAATAAAATTACGTTAATTGAAATTTTTTTCTATTAAGTATGTAAAATTTCTCTCGCTTGGGTATTATAAAATTTTCCGTTGGTTGCTACGTTACAAGAGGGGGCTATTGTCAGTCGTCACACCCTTTCTGTCTATCGGGACAGCCTTCCATTTTTATATTAAATGTCTAAATTCCCCTCCATCCAATAGTTGAATGTTTTAATTAATTAATGAAAATTCAAGAACAACAGGGCCCTTATTAATTGGCAATTACAAAAATGTAAGACCTCCTTCGTTTCTTCTTTCTTTACTCTCTCTTTGCTTTTATACTGTTATTAGATATCTTTAAAAAAAAACTTTATTTTTTTCTTCTTTATCCTTTTAAAATAATTTTTTTAAAAAAATTATTTTTGATAATTTCAAGATCACCGCATCAGATTCTTTAACACCATTGTTCTGTCTTCTTTTGCCTTTTGATTTCTCAATAACAAGGATTCTCTCTTCAAAATAAAATTTGTACCTTAATTGCTTGACCATAGTGCACGGATTTGCGTTCTGAGTTAGATGCATTTGATGGTTGGAAAGTTTGGCTTTAATTGGTTTTCACAATTTTGACATAACATGAAGATTTTTTTAGATGAATTTTTACATGAAGATTTATGATTTAATATTGATGCTGGTAGTTGTTGGAGTAGCTTCTGCATCTGTAGTTATTGAGAGTTATTAGAAGCATAAATAATATCAATAATTAAAAATTAAAATTAAAATTCTACTTTCTATGTTTTCTTATCACCCTCACAAGGTTTGTTTCTGTTTTTTTGATTTTAAGAATATGAGAAGTTTGAAACTCTATTAATCTTATTCACCGAAGATGATTGAAAATTAATGGGTTCCTAAATTATTAAAAAAAAAATGGTGCAATGTTTTTTAAACGATATATATATTTTTTAATTGTGAATTTGTGATCTACAGGAAGAATGTATGGGTATTGCTATTGTAGGTGTTAAATTTCGAGAGAATGATGGCTGTACAAGAGTGGATCTGAGTTTTCAAGATCTTTGTTTCAGACTTTTTTGACAATCAGGATATAATATATGATATTTAATTATCAAAATATTACTTGGTAGTTGAATTTCTTCATATTATTCATAGGTGGTGGTGTTCTACTGATGCTGATTATAATTGATTGCCAGTGTCGAAATCCAGCAAAAAGGAAAAAGAAAAAAAAACATTAATAATAATTTCGCAGTCTCGAAACTAACATTAAGTTGTTTGGATTTCTAGATGCAAGGATATTTTTGGCATTATATATATATATATATATATATAGAAAAGGAAAAGGGTGTGCTTATAGCATTGCCCCTACTCTCTACTGGCTAGCTTTATGATAGGCAAGTGGACTGTATTTCCCTACTCACTGCCAGGATTGGAGTGGAACAGTGGCCAGTGAGTCTCTCTCTCTCCCCTTCCTCTAACTACTATGGACCAGGCCTACTTTTCCATTGGGTAATTATTAGTCCATTAAGGGCTGGCCCAACTCTATCAAAGATCTCAAACTTTGTTTAATTTATAAATAGACCAAGCCCACTCCAACCATTCTTAAATATTTCGAATCTTGCTCTCGGGTATTGTCCGTAGTGTTAAGCCCAATTATTTCAACCAACCCATTTTTTTTTTATAACATTTCCTTGTGTTTCTTCGATCAAGTACTCAGATATTCATATTTATAAAACCAACAATTTGTTTCCATGTAGAGTCAATCACATCCTTCATTTCTACCATTCTATTTTCATATTTCGTTACACTTTTAATTGTTTTAAAAAAAGATATATAAAATTAAAGGCTTTTTTGATAAATATTTTCTTACGAATGCATATAAAAGAAGTACGTTCCATTTATAATGCCATGTCTTCATAATACTCCAAGCTACTGTGGTGTGAGGACGAACATCTTACACGCGTGGGATTCAACAGTTTTTGTTAGCTGATGTCGAACTGAAGTAATTGTTGAATGCTGCAAATTGAAGTTTCCTGATATTAGTTTTTGCTAACAAAAATCAATGACGATGGGAAAGAGGGATTTTCAGAGTCTGACCGCCCAGAGGTCACGAGCATTGATCACTGCTGATGATCTGAGTCCAATGTCCTTGAAATTTGCAGTTATAGAAGCCTTTGATAACCCTCTATTCCACAAGACCACTGCTATCCTCTTCTCACTTAGAGGACCGGCCCATACCTGCACGGATAATATTTGGAGCATTTAAGAAGCATAATACTCTTCTTACAAGGAAAGGGAAAAAAAGCATAATATTCTTAATCTAACTATTTGATTTTATAGTTCGTTTGATACTTTATGGGCCAAACCTCATGTTAGTATCGCAATTATATATAGTTTCTCAATTGAGGCGCCGAACTACTGATTTATCAAATAGGACCTCCCATCTATCAATCTTTTTCTCAATTGGGTTCTTTTGTTGAAATAATTACAGATGGTTTTAAATAGTGAACATTCTATGCAAATGTTTTCTACCTATGGCTATTTCCTTCAAACGCTCAAGCACAAAATTACCTAATTCCCTCTCATTAGGTATGCACCAAGCTCATGGTAATATGGTATATTTTTTTTAATATGTTATTGCAATTGTTCAGACACGTGTCGAATGGAAGGGAAATTGGGTACATTTATTTCTAAAGCTTAGGAGAACCAGGTGAATAAAACATGAACTATTTAAGGATTAAAAGTTCAGGATATTTCTTTATTATTTAAATATTTTAATTATATCCTTTTATTAAAATTTTCAATTATCGTATCTTTTTATTTTTAATTGTGTTTGTATTTGGTCACTTCGATCACTTTTTTAGGCATCGGAGACAAAAGAATAAAACAAAAAAAATATTGAAAGTTGTTTATGTTGTCTGAAAAAGTGATTGAAGAGATCAAATGTAGACGTAATTAAGAGTAAAGGGATACGATAGTTGAAAAATTTAATATAGAGACACGATTAAGACATTTGAAATAGTAAGACATACTGAACCTTGAACCCCCACTGTTTAACGTTGTGTATGAATATTTAAACAAAAGGCCATAATTAAGTGACGATAGATAGATAGGAGACTCAATTAGTAGTTATGGGACTCAATTGAGAAACTATATATAGTTGAGAGACCAATATGAGGTTTTCCCTACTTTGTATTATAAATATATGCAAATTCCACTGTACGAATTATAAAGCATAACCTCTAAATCTCCAGTTTTCTTTACTTTCTTTCCTTGGACTCCAAGCTTATCTGTCAGTGCAAGAATAGCATTAAAGCAAAAGGTCATATCCTTAATTAACAACAATGAATATGAATAGAAAAATACCCGAAACCTACCCTGATTTACTGCAATAACCTCTTTATTGCTTAGCAACTCTGATGCGTCATTGTCCATGGAGCGGATATCACACCCAAGAACAAGTGGAGCCTAATTGACCATTCAGAATCTATTAATTACTGGACCACAGAAGCAGTGATGACTATTAATCATAGTTCCTTTTTAATACCTTTATCAAAGCCCAGATACTAAAGCGAGAGCGGTATTCTTCTGTAGACATGCCCCCATTGCCCACCTCAAGCATGTCTGGGTCTAAATCTCAGTCACAAAAAAGAAAAAAAATAACGTTTGATTCCATAATTTGTCAAGAAAACAACTTGGTTGTTGACTTATAGTAAGAGAGTAATAAGACTCACCATTCCATCCACCAGGTCCAGCATAAGATGCCCATTCATCATTTTGATCAGCACGGGACGTCACGCTGTCAAAAGAGAGGCCATGTCACTATTTCTACCTAAAATTACCATATTTATCTCCCTCACTAAGATGTTATTATTATGAATGCTCATTTCCAGTTTCCACTCTGAATTCTTATATATATATATATATATATATATAGAAGATACTCTTTTTATACCTATCCCACGTATCTTTGATGTCTCCAGTAGTCCTCCAACTATTCCCTATACCAGCTGCCCAAGTTGCTGGATTGTCCTGACCCCTGCATATATACCGCAGTATTATGTTTCCATAGTGAAATGGGTAAGTAAGAATTTTTTTAGGGAAATGAACACGGCAGAGATTGTAGGAAGGAATGATCAGTAAGATACCATTCACAGAGAGAGAAAAAGATGGGTCGGCCTGTGCTTAGTAGTGCCTTGCTCATTTTTGAATACCTGTCAAGCAGTTAATTGGCAAAGGCCAGTAATTTTAATTTTGAAAGATCATTTAAAGATGATGGTGGTGGAATTAATTTTTTCATCAGATTTCAGAAACATACCTTTCTTGTGGGCTCTCCCCATCATTATGGCAATTATCATATTTCAGGTAATCGATTCCCTTGAGAAAACAGGCTACCAACAAAATCATTCATGACATATTTTTTTATCAGGTTTAACGGACACAAACATGTAAGTTCAGTTTCCTGAAGGAAATGGCTTTAGATCATGAATAGAAAAATGACTGAATGAAAAACAGAATACCCATGAGGCTAAGGTTTCCGCATCCTGTTGCTTGTAACCAAGCAATCCTGGCATTGTCTTGGCGCAAGTCAGGGTTCTGCAAGAACAAACATTTCTTTAGAGTGCTATAAAGATTATAGTCCACTTTTCTAATCATTAATTCCCCGACATTTATCGCTGTGTTCTCTCACGGCCTCATGATTTGAAGTTTTACTTGCAAGGATACGCCTTCAAACATGAGGCAGCTACTATCTTTCCTAATGGAAGAAAGCTAAGATAGAAGAATTTTCCCAGTGACACGGGGCAGATCTCTATTTATACGAAACACTAGTTTTACATTAAGCAGTAAACTAGACAAACTGATTCAGTAGGTCATATTATATTTTCCCATATTGTAGCAGATTGGACTCATCAATACACATGCACTCATTTGATCAGCTTGTTTTAGCTCAAGTATCAGGTCAACATACATTATGGCCTTGCTGCAAGTGCACAACCTTGATTTCTTGACCAAACTACAGAAAAATGAAAATGTGAAAGAAGGAAAACAATATCATAAGTACCCAGCATCTCCATAAATTCCAAGCTTGAGCCCTTTGCTGTGGACATAATCTGCTAGAGCCTTCATACCAGACGGAAAAATAGACTCCTTCGGCACTAAGTTCCCCTGCACGGAATAGGTGCAGGTAAATTTGTTCAAACTATTATAATAAAATAAAAGACAGTATTTCACTGAAGACTTCTGTTCAAAAAAAAAAAAAAATCACTGAAGACACACCCTAATGATTTATCAAACAAAACTTCACTAGCAACAGAAATACTCCCTCCTTCACAGCAAAACTTGTACTGCCACACTAAGAACTAAGAAGGTTAATGGCAAGAGGGAAAAGGGATTGTGTTTGTGTTGTGATCCCACAAAAGTCAAGGTTTATCAGTAAGTATGTGTCAGAATATAAACAACCAAACAATTCAGTAAAATAACAAATACAGAAAAAATTCATTAAGAAAAATAAACAATAGCAAGCTACTTGAAATATTTTCGTACGAATGTTGTACCTTAGAATCTCGTTTCAGTTCTCCCCAACAATCATCGGCGGAAATAAAAATTTGAAAGGAAATGAACACTTATCAGTTTATCAGTCATTTGAAGAAAATTAGTAGCTATCTAATAGTTTCAGTATTTATTAGAAAGGAAGATTTTTTTTTTTTTAATCGAGATTAATATAATTATATCCAAGAGCTGCTAGTCCACTGGAAACCATTGCATCAGCTGTACGAAAACAGACAAAAATCAGCAAAGTCCCCAATGAAAACTTACATTAGACAAGACCAAAGATTAAATCAAGTATTTCATGACCAAAAGAAAAATACAAACATATTTTGAGCTGTAAGACATAAAGATTGTCGTATGGACCAGTAGCTTGTCGTATGGAAACTACCTAACCTCCAAATTAAGAATCATACAGTCAGCTTTCAACAAGTAATCGCTACGTTAACAATATGTTACAAGTCTTGGGTGGTTTTGGACCAGTAGCTTGTCGTATAGAAAGACTGGAAGATTGCCTTCAACTCTAAAAAATATTCAGTTGCATAAATAAACCTGGTTCCAGAAGCTTGTCTTATGGAAAGACTGGAAGATGTGGGGTTTTGGATAAACAGTAGGAGAAAGCAGGTGAGCTAAGTCGATGGCTTAAAGCGTTTGTGTTTCGAGAAAAATCATGGTATACTTATTGGAATGGACAACATTAATGGAAAACAATAATAAAAATGGGCATTCGGTAGACACGAGAAAGAAACTGTTGCCATTTGGCCGTTCAAAACGATGCTACAGCAGAATAATTATCAAAGTTGTTGGAATGGCGGAAGAAACAGCAAACAGCAAAACGTACGTCCAATATCAAATTTGTTTTATACTAATATTGATTATGAAACAGACAACGAGAAGAGATGACGATGATCGATGATTACAATATCATTATGGCTAATTTCCTAGTAAGTATGTTGGTGGGAACAAGGACTTCCATTCCTTTTTCCCCCGCAAATGAGGCCAGGTTGGCTCCAGTTTTAGAAAACTAATAGAGTTGTTTTTGTATGTAGTTTATATATATATAGTGGAAGTAGTTTGACATTAATTCAGCAGGTAATTCAATATTGCATCCATGGAACCGAGAGCCACCGCCCAGTTGCTGCTCTTCTTCCTTTCTTTCTTTAGTTCAGGAATTCATCTCATTTTCTCTTCCACGGACCCCGGTGATGGTAATTGAACAGCTTTCGTTCCTCCATCTTCTTCTTCTTCTAACTTCATTTAATTTCTTTCATCTTGCCTATTATTATGGTTAAGATCAATATTTTTCTGACAGTTTTCTGAAGTTGTAGCTAGCCAGGAGTGTTGTTCTATATCGGACTTATCTCATTTCCTAATGCATGTTATCACACCAACAGCCACTAGTTTATGACTTTAACAACGGTTTTGTGTGGTATTGCAGCGGCAGCACTCGTATCCCTCAAGAATCAATGGCAAAATACACCACCAAGCTGGGACCAGTCTGATGATCCATGCGGAGCACCCTGGGCAGGAGTTACATGCTCCAATTCAAGGATCACTGCATTGTCAGTACTGAATTCCTCCTCATGATCAATAACTTCGTCGTCTCTAACAATTGATCTATAGCTAGAGAAAGACCATTCTGATCATCAGTTATATTGTACCCATTTCAGTGGGTTATCAACCATGAGCCTCAAAGGGAATCTAAGTGGTGATATTGGAGGAATGACAGAATTGAGATCATTGTAAGTTTCCTATTTTCTACCTGGCAGGAACTAAGCTTTTTTTTTTTTCCTCTTTTTTGGTAAAATGACGGGAACAAGTTCATTATAAGCAATTCAAATTGTAGTTGCACCTTAGCTAGGTTACTAATAATTCAGCATTGAAAACTACATATTTCCATAAATAGTCCGATGCGTGCAATAATCTATCTTAAATCTTAATATTCAAGCTTTGATGTTATTTTATTGCAGGGACCTGTCATTTAACCCAAACCTTACAGGAACCCTCACTCCACGGTTAGGAGATCTGCTAAACTTGAACACCCTGTAAGATGAGATATTTGATTTTCTACATGGCCGCCCGGCTCATATACTTCTTCCTTGAAAAATGTCAAAGCCAGTGCATTTTATGCATCTTTCCTGCAACTTTTCAGAATCCTTGCTGGCTGTGGCTTCAGTGGTACTGTTCCAGATGAGCTGGGCAATATTGCTGAGCTATCCTTCCTGTAAGAGCTGTTAAATTAGCAACAATTATGAACGCATGAATCAACAGGGGTGCTATATCTTCATTTTACTCAACACTACTCTTCTTTGACAGGGCACTCAACTCAAACAACTTATCTGGTGGAATCCCTCCTTCTATAGGTAAACTCTCCAAACTCTACTGGCTGGACGTTGCGGACAATCAATTGACAGGAACTATCCCAATCTCCAAATCCGCCACGCCAGGCTTGGACCTGCTACTAAATGCTAAGCACTTGTGAGCATATTTTTCCTAAAAGCATCTATGCCAAAGATGAGTAAGCATGTTTGACTGTGTCCAATCAGTGCAATTAATTAAATGTCTAATGTACAAAGAATAGCTAGCTAATTTTCCGAATTTGCAGTCGTTTCAATAAAAACCAGCTTTCAGGCACCATTCCACCTGAACTTTTCAGCTCTGATATGAAGCTGATACACTTGTAAGTCGGTAATCACACAATGTTTTTTGTTCCTCTCATTATGACTTTTCACCCCAGTTCTGCCGTTCTAATTGCTTGTAACTCTTTAATGACAGATTGCTCAATGGGAACCAACTTGAAGGAAACATTCCTTCTACATTAGGCCTAATTCAGAGTCTTGAGGTTCTGTGAGTAAAAATTGCCCCGTTTTTATCTTCCTTTCTTAAACACTTGTCCTGTTTACGAGCTCAGTTTGGACTCTGATTCATTTTGTTTGCTGCAGTCGACTAGATAGAAATGCTTTATCTGGGGAGGTTCCCAAAAATTTGAACAACCTCGTGAACCTCAATGAATTGTGGGTATCTTTACTCGCACAGTTTAGCAAGTCAAGAGTGGTTTCAGTCTGTTAAACATAATGTCAATGATGCTTAACAAATCTTTTCTACCTAACATGTTTCTTTCAGGAATTTAGCAAACAATAAGCTGACAGGCCCTTTACCAAATTTAACTAAAATGGACTCCCTCTATTATGTGTAAGTCATCTAAATGGAAGTTCCCTTCTGTCTTTTAACTTGCTCTTTTCATGTGATCCCGATACATGATTTTCTTTTGCAGAGATCTTAGTAACAATTCTTTCGACTCTTCAGAAGCATCAGATTGGTTCCCAACCTTACCATCTCTCACCAGCTTGTAAGTCTCCATCAAGTCAGAAATGTACTATCTAGAAGCTTTTACAGATTCGTAGTTTCATTTGGAAATTTCATTATGGTGCAGAGTTATAGAAAATGGATCTCTTCAAGGGACTTTGCCACCAAAAGTCTTCAGTTTTCCAAACATGCAGCAAGTGTAAGTTTTCATTAATTTGGATACCAAATGCCAATTGAGTTATTAAAACAATGTCAGAAAGTGCAAAATTGATCATTCATATCATTAAATTTTGGAAGGTTATTGAGGAATAACGCATTCAATGGCACCTTGAACATGGGTGGCAGCTTTAGTCCACAACTTCAACTTGTTGATCTGCAGAACAACCAGATTTCCTTCGTAACACAGTCAGCAAATTACAAAAACAAATTAATGTGAGCAAGTTTCTACAACTTACATTTACCTTCATGAAAAATGTATCCTTTCAACCGCTCACAATCAATCTCAATTTCAATGTCATGTTCTCAGACTTGTAGGAAACCCAGTGTGCACTGGTCTCCCAAATAGCAGTTTCTGTCAACCTTAGCAGCAGTCTACAAAGCCATAGGCCAACAGGGTAGTCGATGATTTCAATGTCTCTTCATGAAAAAGGATAGCAAACAACTTGGCTTGTTATTATGCTGTATTTGTTTAATAATTTGTTGAATTGTTTGTAGCATTCATAGTTTTACAAGCATTTGGTTGAGTCTTTGTTTGACTCTTGTTTTGAATTCTTATATTATCAAAGAAATAGTATAATCTGTCCTGCTCAAAGCAGAATTTCTCATTTCTTTGGAAATCCTTTACCATTTCCAATCCTAGTGGCAACCAAAAATCATCTCAAGATCAATACTCCCTTCGTTTGAACAATTGGTCCAAACTCTCTGTTTTTTTAAAAAAAAAAAAACAAAATAGAAATCCTTTTTGGTTTCCAATCCTAGTCTATACAAGATGTTGGTATCACCAACTGTAATAAATTGGTCATCATACATATATGCTTGAAACTACATTATTCAATCAATTAATCCCTGGTTTTTTTTTTTCACTTAAACAAACTAAATAAGCTTTAACGAATCAAAAATAGAGCCAAATACGAGAATATAAACAAAGATGACGAAAGGCTCAAAGTACAAGTCCAGACTTATCTGGGCCAGAAAAGCCGAAAACCCCAGCCCTATAGAGTATGGGGAAAACTCCAAATTGAGGAGTAGTCATGGGGCAGTGGCACACACAGTTGTCCATTTGCATCCATGACCATCACAATGAGTTTTCTTCTTTAATTATTATTATCATATCCAACACAGTTTATTAATCTAAAAACATTTAAAAACCTTTTTGCTATATAAATTTTTATTAAAATATGAACCTTGTTTCTATTTTTTCAATATAGCATTTATTTAATTATTTATAAGAATAAAGGGTAAGACAATCTATATGCTTTTATATATTAGGGTATACAATTGTATGCCTTTCGAAAGGAAAAAAATATTTTTATTTGTTTTGATAAGTCAATTGAATTCTTATATAGTTACATATTCTCCATCTATCACATATGTTCCTTGTTTTAAAGAAAAAAAAAGCTTTGAAAAACCCAAAAAAATAAAAAATAAAAAGAAGAAATGAGAAAACCATTGTCAAAATCAGGTTTTACGGCGGCCATATAAGTTATCTTGATGGCAAAAGGCTTTCAATTTTTTTCATTTGGAACCTACGTTTTTTTTCTTAGGGATTATTTCAAGTTTTTCTATTTCAATTTTTTTCTATTTTCTGGAATTAATTTCAATGTTTTTTTTCGTTTTCCTTTGTAAGGTTTTTGAAAGTTTTTTTTTTTTCAAACTTAATTTTTCTTTTGACGTTTTTACGTTCTAAAATGTTATAAAAGACCTCTATTGATTATGTGTTATTCACAATGATTCAATCGTTTTTTTTTTTTTCCTTTAGCAGCTTATAAAAGAACTATGCCCCTGATACCTAAGGTCGGATATGACAATTAACTATAAAGTTACGTTTGTTTCACATAAAATACGATTTCATTTTATATATATATATATATATATATGAATTCTTCATTACCAATTGCATTATCTAAGAGTTAATCCTAAACGATACGAAAGGTTTCTAAAAATTATCTTCAATCAAACTCTAAATGAAAAAATAAAAAAAAAAAAATCTTATTTCAATAAAATAACAACATTTTAAGCTCGATAATAGTTCTATTTACTTGAACATTCAATGTTTAAAATTACATCTTTCAATAGCTATTTGAAAGATTTTTAAACATTAAAGGACTGAATGCCACACACTCAGTAAATAACATTTCATATCCATTAAATTGACATTACAATATAAATATATAGGGAGAGATTGCCACATGTATAAAGGATAACCAACCATCCCTAGGTTCATTGTATTCATCTTGCTCATTGATTCAATCATTTGACGAGTCCTTAGAAACTTCATTCTTGCAAAGAGTCCATGTTAAAGTTACAATTAATTCCTTGGAATATTTATGATCGTACATAACTAGTTCAAAATTTCCTTATTCTTTTGAATGAAGAGTTGATTAATAAGAGTTAATTAATTGTACTTTGAAAAAAAAATCGAATATGAATATTGATCATAAAAAACAATAATCATTCCAATTAGTATTATGACATCACCTGATATTAATTCTAGATTTCTCCTCCTTCTTTTTTGTTTTTTGTGGGTAAATATCAATGTCAATCTTATGGAAGACATCATGTTTCGTATACCTAATTTGCTTCTTGAAACTGCCGTAGAAGCAACTGACTATTATAATCATGTTGACAAGTGCTTTTTGTTAACAGATTCAAAGGCACTTTCCTTTTTGCCTTAACAATGAAAAGGTATTTTTGTGCTAGTTTTTACATATTGGGATACTCTTCAAAATTAAATATTTTTTCAAAAGGATTTGAAGTAATCTGTACCTAAATTGACACATTCACGTGAACATAAAGTAATTTTCTTTTGAAAGGTACTTCTAGATAACATATGTAAAGATACATGGCCAAACCCACGATTTGTGGTATGTGTTTTCACAAATTCATTAAAAAATAAATAAATAAATAAAATTTCTACTGTTACTACTACAATCATGTGGAATAGATAAGTTTTAAAGAATTATTTAATAAGAAGATGTGGAACAGATAATAACATTAATTGAAAAGAAAGGAAAATTAATAATAATAAATCATGTGGTAAAATGAATATTTGATTGGCCGAGATAAGTTTTTAATTTTGAAAAAATATATTCAATTAACTGAAATTTTTTTTGAAAAAATACTATTCATTGATCAAATTAAGCATTGAAATTTTTTTTAATGAATTGGTGAAAATACAAGATGCAAATCCTATATTTGGCACAGATAAATCTCTACCGTCAATCCTTCTGGTTATACATTGACTGCCCAAGCTATGAGACAAATTAATCAGGCCCGAGGGCCCAGAATGAGTAAGAGAAAGCTATTTCTCAATCGTTCGTCGCATTAATTACGTTGAAGATGCTTTAACTTTTAAAATAAAACGATGAAAATGGCTGCTTCATTTAGCATTCTGGGTCTTTTCTACTATCAACTCGAAAATTTTGATCCCTAAAGTGTTTAATTTCTAACCAGTAAATTATTAATTACTCTCTTTATTTTTGCAAAACGAATTAAATAATTTTTTATTTTAAAAACTAATATTATTTTGTTTCAAAAAATATCTGATTCCCAACAAGTTTTTAATATTTTTTTTAAAATGAAATAATTAAGTTACAAATAAATTAAAAATATAGAGACTAATTTATTAGTTATTAAAACTAAAAGGATTATTTGATTTTTTTGAGAAACTAAAGGATGATTTACTTTGCTCTAACACACTTTATTATTATTATTATTATTTCTGAATTTAAACCATAAAGCTGTTCTCATACCAGCTTATACATTAATAAAGACCTTTTTTTAAGACGATCTTAAAAATACACTCTTACATCATTGATACATTTAAAAAAAATTATTAATTTTTTTTTTAATGCTAATCCCAAAATTTGAAAAAAAAAAAAAAAACAAATCTTTTTAACCACGAGACTAACCTCCAGATTTTTAACATACCCATCTTACTGATTTTTTCCCCCAATCGAAACACAGAAACATTACAACTACATGATATGCTATGCTCATATAATTAATTAATATATATTTCCGAATTGACGAATTTTAATATAACGTGGTTAAAGTAGCATAATGAGCTATCCCTTTTTTTAATCGAACAATTTAAATTAATTCTATCTTTAAATGCTGGATATTTTTCCTGTTCGTAGATACTGTATCAGAGTTTCGGGTTTCTCCTTTAAACTTTAGTATTTCTTTAGATTGACAGGATTCTATCTTTTAATTGGTGGGTGCAATTTCATGTAAGCTGTACAGTTAAACTACATTAATTACAAACTATTTGGGGCACTATCAATTTTGGAAATAGTAAATTTAAATTTTCCTTTCAAAGTTAAATAGAAGAAGAGATAGAAAGAGATCGACATGTATTTCAAATGGCAAGCTTCCGTTTTTCGAAAAAATTATAAAGTCTGTGATTGAAGCCTCAGAATCTTTGGAATTTTAGCCATTTAGTAATGCAGTGAGGACTCGTCTAAATGCAAACCCCAAACCAAATTTGGTTAACCAAAATTTTGAATTTGGGCTCATGACCCTCTGCCTCAAAAGGATGAAAACAAATAGTGAAAGTATTTTTTTCAAGTATTAAAAAATTTATGGCTGCGAGACTTTTCCGAGACACAACAGCTGATTCCCAATCCAAATGGCGGGACCTTACCAGACATTTTCTATCCACATTGTTCTCCCTGAGCTTTTTCTGAAATGTTCTCTCTTTTCATTACCTTTACGGAAATGCAGATCGGAATATCAATCAAACACACATTTATTGCTGTCTCCGTATTTTATTTTTTTTAATTTAGATAAAACAATTCAAACTAAATAAAATTTTGACAACAAATTTCTATGCTTCGTATCTTTTAATATTCAACGCGGTGGAAGCAAACGTGCATGTCTGTCATATACAAAAAACACATGGGTTCTAGCTTGCCCTTAAAAATCTTGACCTTACCTAGATAGGTTCCACATTGTCCTTTACTGCTGGTTAGATTTATCTGGTATTATAGTAGATAAACCAACTCTCTTACCATCGTTGTGCATAACCGTGCAAAACCCAAAATGACTTTTATCTTAAGCAACGATGAAGCATTGAATTAAAGCTAAAAAGTTCTGTTAAGAATTCCAAATTCAGATCCGCATCTTAAATTATCGAAAGAAACAATATACCACACTCCATTAAGAAAAACTGAAATCCCATTAATAACCTACATAATATACGAGAAATTAAATAAAATAATAAGAAGGTCCATCCAATTAAGCAACCAAATGGTAATTTTGTAAGTGTTTACAGAAGAGTACCCTCTTTTATAACGAACACTAAAACCTGAAAAATGTACAGCAGTAAAACAAAAAAAAAAAAAAGAACCCTAAGGCCTCAAGACTAGGTAGTAGGTAGCTCTTAAAAAAGTATATGGTAGCTGAGAAATCCTAAAAAGGAGGTGAAAAGGAAAGTTCACAGCTAGTAAAACTGCTAGAAACCTTCTCAAAATAAAAGGGGTCAAAATAGGTTTAATTTAAAAAAAAAAAAAAAAGCCATCCCGAAAATCAGCCACCAATTATCATCATCGAATGATACTCATCATCATGCACATACTGACATGCATCACCTCACAGAGAACCAATCCACTAAACCCTCCCCCACGCGCCTCCGCGTTGCTGTTACGCGCTCATCGGACACAAGCGGCCGCCGACAAAGAGGGCAATTGAAATTGAGATGATCAAGCCACCCATCAAAGCACTCCTTATGGAACACGTGGCAGCAATCAAGCTTCCTCACCTGGTCCCCATCTCGTAGGGTGCACAAGCACACCACACAATCCGATCCTCCCTTATCATTTCTATTACTATCACCACCGCAACCATACTTGTACGCAAAAACCCCGTTGATTTTACGCTGCTCGGCGAGCATGATCAGGCCGGCAAAGCCAGAGCCAATTGAGCCCAACAGCCCATCATCCATCACGTGGGCCTGGTCCAATCGGTGAAGGCCAACAGAGTGGAAAACGCTGAAAAAGAAAGAGCGAAGGCAGGCAACAAAGTTGGCTATGAGTGCTATGAGGAGTAACGGGATCGATTCAGAAGACACGTCGTTCAGCTGGTGTTGTAAACCCATCTTTTTGTTTGAGTTTACCGTGTCTTTAGGTCTAGTGATTAAGAGAAAGAGAGGATGGTTATGATATATAGAGACTAGAGAGGTGTTTCATAAATGGCGAGAGGGGGGAGAGAGAGAGAGAAGAGAGAGAGAGAGAGAGAGAGAGTTCGGTTGAGACGGTGGGTGATGTTATGGATGTCGAAGCTTGCGGGCCTAAAGAGTGGGAAGGGGATTTTGGGTCCCCTCCAAGGCCATGTGTTGTGGGTCCTCTTCTCTATGGAAAATTCGTGTTCTTTTATATTTACCGGTACTGCTACAAAGTACAAGCAAATATATTTTCAAGTTTTTCTTCTTTGTCTTCTTCTTATTTTACCGACCTCAAATTGGGTAGCTAGTCAATACCCATGCAAGTAATGATTAATTAGTTTTTCACAATTAAAAAAGAGATCAATTATTTTTTTATGGAATACATTTATGATTGAGAAATTCATATTTATAACCTTTTGAGTGCAGATTAGGTAAATTTTGGATAGAGCATAGCTACCTTGACATGATTATCACCCAATATAGCTATGAGGTAGATTATTGGCAAAAAGGGTGATTCTTTCCATAATATTGAAGGCCCGATTAGGGGCCCACTAGGTAACGGTGATTTCTTGATTTGTATGTGTCATCTTTATGCAAGAATATACTAATATTTTCTATATTTTTTTCAATTTTCATAGTGTGTTTTTTCTTTATGCAACGACAATGGATATTTTAGGAGTAATTTGTAGGTTAATCGAAATTTAATAACTTTTCCGAGCAACTCTAAGAATGCATCCCCACGTTAGGAATGAGCATTTAGTTTTTTAATTTGATTTTTAATATTTTAATTCGATTTTTGATTAACCGAAATTAAAAAATCTAAGCCAAACTGAATTTATATTTGATTTTTTTTATGAAAATTGAATTTTTTAATTTGTTTATTGAATTTTTAATGTATTAAAATAATATAAATAGACTAAATTTGTTTTTAAAAAATTGATTTTAAATTTAAACCAATTTCAAAAACCTAAACCAAAATAAATTCGATTCGTTTTTTATATAATTTTGAGTTCAAAATCAAATTAAAATTGATATTTTGATTCAGTTTGATTTTAAAAACAAATTGAATATTGTTCATCCCTGGCTGGAAAGACTTAATGCAATATTTAGAAGAATTTAATAACTTTTATTAAATGATATTTTTAAAATAAGAATTAAAAAATTAAGTAAAATAGCATTTTTTTAAATTAAAACCAAATCAGCTTCTCGAGATTTCAAAATCCGTCCGTGAAATGACCCAAGTTGTCAATAACAATCAAGGAATTCTTTTCACATGATTTAAAAAAGATGCGCCACCATTGTAGGCTATGTTTGAGGATATTTCAATTAATTATCAGGAGAAAAAACATCTTTATGCAAATTTAAGAAAATTGATTTGAGTAAAAACAAATTCTAGTTATTTAAATTAGTTATCTTAAATTTAAATTATTGTATGAATAAAAAATTCATTAAATAGTTATATTTATTTTATACGTTGGATCAAATAGCAAATGAGGAGTCTAAATCTTAAGAATCCAAAAAAAAAAAAAACATTGTTATGCATTTCATTTTCTGAATTATTCATGACATTTTAAGGAAAAAATAAAAAAATAAATTTGTGAGAGAGAAAAGAACTTGTAGATTCGTAAATTTGTCAACGGAAAGATAAATATGCGTAAACTGGCTATGCTATATGGTACGCACGCGGAAAGTGTTGGCACACGGAAACAAGAAGGGGATAGATCACGTAATGAAAACTTATTATCGAAAAATTGATTATGCTCGTAACACGAAAAATTGATCGATGCCTCATTCATTCACTTAATTTGTCTTTATTCAATTATTGTTTCTAATTAATGTGGATGTTAAGCCGTCACGTCCTCAAAAACTCACAACTACAACTGTTTTACTGGGAGGATGATATGGAATCATCATATTCATACATTTTCCAAAACGAATAGTCATTTTCGAGTTCAGTTGAGAAGAAATTTTCCTCATGAACAAGAAAGGATATCTTAATTGGTAAATTTCAGTTTACCCTCCTCAAGTTTGTATGATTTTTCAATTTCATCAGAAACCTTTGATTTGTTTTAATTAGATCTCGTATATTTCATTTTTATTCTAACCAGCTCCCACATCTTTCTTTTTTTTCTTTTTTATAATCAACCCACATATTTTTCACTTTTGTTTCAATTTTTCTCCTCCATAAATTTTTTTTCAGGTGTATAAATTTTAATGTCATTCTTGAAGTTTAAAAAATATCTCAACATCATCTAAAGAATAAAGAAAAAATTAATTGAATGAAATTTTTTTAACTAAAACAAATATGATAAAACTTGACAATTTTAGTTTATCAAGAAATTCTTAAATCTTATAAATTTCAATTCTCACTTACGAACATCATGTTTTTTTCTTTCTTTATCAATATTATAATTAAATTAAAATCAAGATTTAAAGTAGATTTAACTCTTTCTTTTACATTTTTTTTTTTTTTGTCAAACTTTCACTATTTTGATCCCTCCTAACTATCAAGCCTCCTCTCTTTTTTTTTTTTTTTTATGTTGTTGTCAAATAGCACTTTTAGTATGGGCAAATAATCACGTTTTAAGTGATGTAAAAAATAGTGATATACTCAGGTTATCATTCTACTCATATGAGATTTTAATAATTATTTTTTTTTCCAAAACTCTTACTTAATATTTTAATAAAAACTTAGATAAAAAAAAATGTATATATAATATGCTAGAAAGGGAGTGTATGAGAGGCAACGATAATGGTGATTATATTTTTTTATCATATTTGTAATTATTTTAATTTTATTCTTGTATGGTCAAAGGATTTCTATATGTTATTGATGAAGAAAAAATAGAAATTTTTTATTTGACTAAAAAAATTGTTTTTTAATTGTTTTCAATTTTAATTTATTTATTCTTACATTTTGAGTTATATTGAGATATTTTGTAAAATCTGGAGATGAAATTGAAATTTATACAGTAGAACAAAAATGAAAAACACGAGATTTAATCGAAAAAAATAATTTTTTAAAATAAAATTGAGAAAACACACAAATCTCAACGAAGAAAGTTAAAATGTACCCTATACCTTCCGTTGGTATAGAAGAGTGATCAATTAATATTGTAAAGAAAAAAATATACAATTTTGTTTAATTATTTGAAGTTGAAATATATCGTAAGGATACGCGTAATCTGTTTTATAAAAATAGATTAACAAAAGCAATGCAAGAGTCCGTTTGGCGTACAAAAGAAAGTAGGGTATAACTGTCTTTCTGCAAAGCCACGCATGCGTTAGAGTGCTGTGTTTTGAGGGGAAAAAAAAAAAAACTTTTTGTTACTTCAGATAAAAAGCAAAGAACTTTAGCTAAAAATATATACTAGTACTTTATTTCTTAGCGCAAAATAAGAAAATAGATCCAAAATGTTTGCCTTTTATTCAGTACTATTTTTTAAATTTGGATTGAAAACGTTTGTGACTTTTAAGCATATAACTGTACAATATGGCAAAACAAACATTAAACGTTAACATCTGAATTTTCTATGCGCTTACAATAATATATATATGTAATTTTGATAATAACCTGAAGTATTTTTTTTCTTTTGACAACTCCAATTAAAGTAAAAAAAAATGGAAGAGTACTTGGCCAGACGTAATCTAGTAGTGATAGTCAAAATTCAGCCGAGAAGAATGAATAGGAAGGTCAAAATTCCTCCTCAGAAAGGTATCGGAAACGTGGAAGCAAAAGGAAGCGTTATACTTGTGGCATACTCCAGAGGGGCCTACAAGCTGCCCCACGTCATAGATAGAATAGAAGGTTAGGCGAAGAGAGATTTAGGGAACGCTTTGTTGATGGCAGACAAATTACAAGTGGAGCTTGCATGCGCTTGATGATAATGACTGCAGTACTATACATTAAAGGGGGATGATCAGATGATTGCAAGAAATTCCATTTGATTAATATACGTAATAATGCAAGCCATGTCATATATGGTTAAAACGGACAATGGCCCTCCTTGATTGAAGATGCGTGGAGAGTTTTTGGCCTCAATTTTAGTTTAACCTCTAGCGACCTACTAGTTGGCTTGCAAACCAACCCCCTAATTAATAATATTTGATTTCAAGTTGTCATACATGATTACAAGTAAATATCCTTTTCATTTCTCGCCGTTAAAGTTTAAATTATAAGAGTTAAAAATAATCAATAACACAAAAAAAAAAAAAAAAAACTCTCCTTGTTTTAATCCCCCAATAATAATAATAATAATAATAATATCTCCTAAAACTAGTAAAAAGTAGTCGAGATTTTATGAGTAATTTTAACAGAGGCAACGAGATCTAATTATTATGTTTAAAATATTGGCCCTTTGTGATAGCCACATAGACTGTTGGACGCTCGGGAGACAGTATACATGTATACATACACTACCAACTTATCTATTTTTCTAGAAATAAAAAATAAAAGTTATCTTTTAAGTGTGAATATTGATAGAAGAAATGTCTAGGGAGAGAGTTGAATTTTGTTGCATATATGTACGTAGCTTTGTATATATATTTACCAAACAACAATCACAGCAGATTATACCAAATTATTGAAGGACCACAACCATGTGCTGGAGAATAAAAAAATGATGGTCATTAACCTTTGATATCAAGTGAATTAGTTTTAAATATCTAGTTAATTATGGGAGATTTGATTGTCATGCGTGTTGTAATAAGGTAAAAGAAGCGTTTGATAATTATCTTTAACATTAAATTGTAATGTTGTTATTTTAAAATACAAAATAATTAATAAAGACTGTAACATACTAAAAATATTTTAATAAATATATTTGATAATTTATAACTTTTGAATCCGTGTATGCATGTGTCAATATTTTTTATTAGATAATTCTTTAAATTTAAAAAATAAATAAATAGAAAGATAATACATGCCCATCATTTCAATAAAAATTATCCATAATAAAAATAAATAAAAAATTGTTCGAAAGCACACAGCACACCAATACGAAACAGCTACTGCACCAAAAGGCTAGAGAAAATAAAAAAGATTACTATAGGTATCTCGAATTACAGCATACCTCAAAACGTGATGAAAAATTTGTGAATTTTGACAAATGGTCAATTCTCTGGTTCCATTCTTACACTCTTTTGACCATCAATATGCATGTATTTGACTCAGCTTTATATGCAACCGATGCAATTAACCAGCCTGTCGAACTCCAAAAGCAGCACCCCACACCAACCAGATTAAAAATCACAAAATTCCAGAGCCAAATTCTCATTAAATTTTAAAATCTAGATTTAAGAGATATGATCTATCCACTTGCACAAATTAGAGATACGGTACGTGATGATATTTTAAAAAAATATTTTGATATATCCACTTGCACAAATTAGCTCTTTGTTAAACAACTTGTTCAAAAAAGAGAGAAAAAAATTGTTCATTTAATTAAGTAGAACACTACTCTCGACATGTATACATATACATAGACAACCCCGTATTTTCCTTAATAATTATAGATTGGAATCCGCAAAGCCTCTTATTCAAATAACCAATTAGCTAATTAAAGTTTCTTTAATTTTGTCCAATTTAATTAGTTAGTCATTAATCGTGTGCATGTTAATACAAAATCTTTTTAGTTTCTTTTTATGCAATAATAAAATCAAATAAGAAAAAAAAGTTCAAAAGAAATAATATATATATATAAGATAATTGATGAGTAGAGAGAGATTGGGGGGGGGGGGGCGCCATAATGAGAGTTCTGTCACCATAATGACCAACATACATGTGATTAATAAACTAATAAGTGAAAGTCGGGTTGGGCGGTGGGGGAGAATAAGACATATGAAGACAGGGACCAACTCTGATTGAGAGAGATTTTCCAAGATCTCTGGTGACTCACAATTAGAGGATATTAAACAACCGCGGAAAAACCATATTAATTAACAAGAAGAGATTAGAGAAAAAGCCTTGAAGGGGGCTGATCATGCACTCATGATGCAATCTCCACCGTCCAGAAAGATCCGCGTATCCGCCGTCCACACTGTCAACTGGCCATACATGTACGGAAATCTTCAAAAAAAAAAAAAAGCAAATTAATAAAAAGCTTCGCTTAATAATTTTTCATTTTTCACATGGCCTTTGGCTGGGGGGCCTAAATCATGCATGTGGCTAAATTTGTCTGGACTCCCAACTTTTCATTCTTTTTCGCATACATCATCTAATTCTATTTGGAATGTGCTGCGTCTCACTACTTTTGTCATCGTCATCAACATTCATTGA